AGGCCAGGACACAGCTGCTGCGTAGTACAACAGGAAAATCTTAAAATCGGTGCCGTTTGACAGCCGTGGTTACGTGGGGAAAAAGAAACTAAGACACAAAGTCTTAGGCCCCAGCATCTGGCTTGGTGAAGGTCACAGAGAAAGTTCCTGCTCTGTCCTGATGGTATGGTAAACCTTTCTGGGTTCCAGGGCAAGTCTGCCCTGGCTCAAATCTTGACTCCCAACACTGGCCAGGAACTGGGGAAACTTCCCTCGTTTATGACAGGGCCAGCGTGGGATAATTCTTCCCTGCCTCTTGCATATGATTTGTAACTTATGGTACTTCTGTGGGTTGAAATGTATAAATATAAAATTTTAATAATTCAGTAATTTTAAATAAAATAATTAAACATTATCTAAGATTAGTCACTGAAAATATGACTAGTGCTCCTGAGTTCTTTTCATCATGGTCCTGCACTCACTTGTGTTGAATCCCAGCCTAGCCATTAAGCAGCTGTGTGATCTGGGGCAGGTCCAGTCACTTTGTGCTCAGTGTCTCCATGGGCCAGTGAGGGGAAGAGCATTTAGAATAGCTGCTTGGGAGTATTGCTGGTTCCAGGGGCCAGCAGATGCATTTCATACTTTCCTTCTGTGTCTGAGAGCCTTTCTAAAAAGGGGCATGGCACTCTGAGCGATGTAAGCAACCTAGGTGGGATTCGGACAGAGCCATGGGAGGGTGGAGGCAGGCTTGGAGGGTGGAGCCAAGCGCTGGGGCTTTATGCGGTGGCTCCGTCCAGGGTTCCATGGTCTCCATATGAGAATGGCAGTGTGGGCAGTATTGAGGAACCTTCCGCTTCCGTTACAGTTGGTGTTATTGCCGTAGCGGCCGCTAGTGTGTTGTACTTTTTCTGGGCGTTCGTGTAGCTTGGGCACGGCAATTATGTTCGACAACTTTCTTCTCTGTTTGGTAATCCCTTTCTTGCCCCAGCATCGCCTTTCCAAACATTTTAGTTGCAAAATAAGAAAGGAAGTTCCTTTTTTGTTAAATTCAGTTACAGTGTTGAAGTCTGTTCCTAGCTGGGTGTGGTGGTGCAAGCCTCTAATCCCAGTACTCTGAAAGCAGAGGCAGGCAGATCTGAGTTCGAGGCCGGTTTGGTCTACAGATTGAGTTCCAGGATGGCCAGGGTGACACAGAGAAACCTGTGGAGGTGGGGTGGGTTGTCTCTGAAAAGTCTCCATCCCTGTTGGAAAAAAATGCAAAAAAGTTTTTCCTTAAGTTTTTCCTTAAATTCTGGGTCTCATAGGTGGTGGTGGTGGTGGTGGAGGAGGTGGTGGTGGTGGTGGTGGAGGAGGTGGTGGTGGAGGAGGTG